CTGAGATTAAGAAAAAAAAATATATTTTTAACATCTCAGTCACAGAACTGTTGTTAATTCAACACAAACATTGAGCTTTGCTGGCCCCAGGCTCCACGGTGTGGGTGGGGGAGCTTGGATGCTTTTACTCCTGGGACAGACTTGCCTCCAAGGCTTCCGTGATGCACGCGGCCGAGGGACGCTTCTTGGGGTCCTCGCTGGTGCAGACAGAAAAGAGGTCGATCATGCGCTGGTAGGACAGATCCAGTTCCTCCATGTTGAGGGCCGGGCGGGTTCCCAGTGCTGCGTAATACGCTTCCTCATCAAAGCAGTCTTCATCAAAGGACTCATCTGGACAAGAAGGTGGAAAAGGGGTTGGGAGGGGTGATGGAAACTGCTCTGCTCCCTGGCTGCCCCTCATCTATCACCAAATGGTTTGGGTGGGAAGGGACCTCTCAAGGCCATCTAGTCCACCCCCCTGCCGTGGGCAGGGACATCTGCAACTAGAGCAGGTTGCTCAGAGCCCCGTCCAACCTGACCTGGAATGTTTCCAGGGATGGGGCATCCACCACCTCTCTGGGCAACCTGGGCCAGTGTCTCACCACCCTCAGTGTAAAAAATGTCTTCCTTATATCTAGTCTGAATCTCCCCTCTTTTAGTTTAAAGCCATTCCCCCTTGTCCTGTCGCTACAGGCCCTGCTAAAAAGTCTGTCCCCATCTTTTTTATAAGCCCCCTTTAAGTACTGACAGGCTGCAATAAGGTCTCCCCGGGGCCTTCTCTTCTCCAGGCTGAACAACCCCAACTCTCTCAGCCTTTCTCCACAGCAGAGGTGTTCCAGCCCCCTGATCATTTTCGTGTCCCTCCTCTGGACCCGCTCCAACAGGTCCGTGTCTTTCCTGTGCTGAGGACCCCAGAGCTGGAGGCAGTGCTGCAGGGGGGGTCTCACCAGAGCGGAGCAGAGGGGCAGAATCCCCTCCCTCGCCCTGCTGGCCACGCTGCTGGTGATGCAGCCCAGGGTACGATCGGCCTTCTGGGCTGCGAGCGCACATTGCCGGCTCGTGTCCAGCTTTTCACCCACCAGGACCCCCAAGTCTTGCAGGGGTGCGGTGGGATGTGACCTTCGTGTCAGCTATTTTATTGTTAGCGCTAATTACCGCCTGGGATACATCATTGCTTTCCCTTTGACTTAAATCACTTATTTTGAAGCTGTATCTAACCCCTTTCTCCCAGCAGAATAACTCTGAGTCACCCCTGCAGAGCTGGCTGGGAAAAAGCTCTGCAGCCAGGAGATGCTGAGAGCAGGAAAGCGAGGGAAAAAAAAATCCCCCGGCTGCCTGGAGACCAAGTTAGAAAACACAAGCCCGCCTGCGGGTCCGTGCCAGCGCGAAGGCTGGAGCAAGAGGAGTTTTCCCAGCACAGCCCATACGATTTTTAGCTTTATGTTGCTCCGGGGCGCAGATCTGCCCGCAGGCAGCTGCGGCACCGCCTGCCCATCCCATCCGCTCCCCCCCTGCCTTGTCTGCTCCGTGTAACTCTGAACGAGGGGGGCGGCCAAGAAGGCCAACAGCATCCTTTAGCTTCTCCTTTCCAAAAGGCTCAGCTGCCTCAGATATTTTCGTGTACCGTTTCAAGCACGGTATCATTTTAAGCTTTTCTGGCCACATCATTTTGGTGGTATCTAAGCAGCATCCACCACACGGCTACAGGCTGGCAGATTGCTCCTACGCTGCACGGACGTGGGATGGAGCCGGAGCGCGGCCGAGCACGCTGCGGGGCGCCCGGGGGAGCAGCAGTCGGGCTCGGGGACATCTCTCAAACCTAGCGAACCGTGCTGATGGGAGTTTCGAGCAGCTCCCTCCAGCTGTTAGACGAGCAGCTGGAGCACTTACAAAGAGCGCTGGTTCGCAATGATTAGTTACCGTCAGTTATCAACTTCCCATTTGGAGTTAAAAAGCCAAACGAAGTTGAACCCAGCCCAGCGCCCTGCACAGACACTGAAGGATGCCGACAGGCACCCGCTGCAGAGCGGCCTCGGGGTAGTGCTTGAGCATCTCCGTGCCGCAGCGAACTCCCCGGTGAACTCCCTGTGAAGGGAGGCAGGGCTGGGAGACGCAGCAGGCGCGGGCAGGCAGGTGCTTGCAAGCCCTTCGGATGGTGTCCAAGGGAGACCCAGCACTGCGGGGGTACTAACACACGCGGTGAAAACCAAGCCTCCTGAGAGAGGAGAGCATTTCTAGGAGCAGGAGTTGCTCCCCGGGCAAGGTACAGAAACAAACCTTCGTCATCAGGCTCATGGCCCAGGTTGATGTGGGGCACGGAGAGGGTCATCATTTCCCAGAGAGTCAGCCCAAAAGCGAAGATGTCGGCCTTGTCGGTGATCACGCCGTCGTCCTGCAGAGCCTCCTTGGGCTTCCAGGGCTCGGTGCCGACGTAGCACATCTCCGGGTCGCTCACTGGAAGGAAACACGGCTCTGGTGTCTGCCGGGACTTGCGGACACAGCAAGACACGGTCACAGCTCGTCACGCAGCAGGGGTTTAGCCTGTCGGTTAGCTCAGGCCTGCTAAAGCCACAGAGCAGGATCTTTTGGGAGCCTGAACCCATTTTTCTTTCACATCCGTGCAGTCTCAAATTCCCTGAAACCTGCGGTTTGCTCCGCAGCAGCGCCAGACGCAGCAGGGCTCGTGCTTCTCCTCCGCAGGCCTGGCAACGCACGTTAGGGACTGCGGAGAAACCTCCACGAGGAGATTTCGCGTTGCCGTGCCTGAGGTTATGCAGAACGCGGAGAGAAGAACTGGAGGTCAGAGCTGTGCTCTGTAACTTAACCCTGCCGTAAAGCACCCTGCAATGAAGAGGTGAGAATTTACCTCTGTTTTACCCAGGTGTTTCCCTCCCTCAGCTTGGCCCCCCGCCCCGGGGAGGCAGGACTGGGGTGACAGCACGCACAGGGCACCTTCCACCAGGGCACCTTCCACCAGGGCACCTTCCACCAGGGCACCTTGAGTGGTTAAACCAAAAAAAAAGGTGGAGTCACCATCCCTGGAGGTATTTAAAAGACGGGTAGATGAGGCGCTTAGGGACATGGTTTAGTGGGCATGGGGGTGTTGGGTCGACGGTTGGACTCGATGATCTTGGAGGTCTCTTCCAACCTTAATGATTCTACGATTCCCCGGACAAGGCCAGGGGACAAAGCCAACCCAACCCCAGTCCTCACGAGGCTCCGTCGGCCTCCACCCCGCAGTGCCTCCTGCCAGCCACGCAGCCCTTCCGTTTTCTTTACTCCGGCCCAAACCACGTTCTCACCAGTTTGTTCAATTTAATGCCTCCTTGATCTTAATTAGCCTTGGGAGAGCTGAAGTGATCAGCTCTCAGCTTGACGAAGGAAACACCAGCTCTGACTCGATCCCTTGTATCCCCCTCTCAGTTACCACCACCGCTCCCAGGAGGAGGGTGCCACATTTCCCCCCACTCTCCCTAGCAAATTCCTGAGCCGTCGGCAAACCTCAGCTGTTCAAGAAACTTTTCTCTTGCAGGGCTGATCTTCAAAGCCCGGCCTGTAATGAGAAGCCAACGCCGAAATCCCTCAACGCCTCACGGCCCGCGGGGCTTTAATCCTTGGCTCCCACACGGACGGGGACCCGGCACCCTCGCCGTCGGTGGGTGCCCGTTGCCTCCTCGAGACCACGAGGAGGCAAAGCCAAAATCAGGGCTGGGCGGAGAGGACTTCTTCCTGTTAAACCAGCCCAGAAACTGATACTTTAACCACACTCCTCTCCGGGAGATTACGCTGGGGCCCTGCCTCCAGCCCTGTCGCTCCTTATAAAAGGGAACAGCTACTAATAAAAACGTAATAGAGCAGCTTTATAAATTACGAGGCTGTGGCAGGCCCAAGCGCTGTGTAAAGGGGCGGAGAAAAGCATTTTTGTAATTAACCCAAACACATTCCTTCTTTTCACAGCCAAGCCACGACGCCATTAGACATCTGCTTCTCGTTGACATGAAGCCGTTATAACGCTTGCATTTGGCCCGGGCTTCCTTCTAGCCCTAGGAGAAAAGATTCGTTTACTTAACTCTCTGGCAAGAGCATCTCCTCAACAGGGACCAGCAGGGCCTGATCCGGCCTCCCGTGTACAACGGCACCCCTGCCCACGGGAGCCAACGTACGAGCGTGGAAGGGCCGGAGGCAGAGGTCACGGGTCTGGAGAATTAAAGCCGAACCTTCCAGAGATCCCCTTCACCCACGCACGGCGGTCATAGAATCCGTGACCACGCAATGATTAGTTACCGTCAGTTATGACCAGGAGCCAGTCATAGAATCATAGAATCGTTAAGGTTGGAAGAGACCTCCAAGATCATCGAGTCCAACCGTCGACCCAACACCCCCATGCCCACTAAACCATGTCCCTAAGCGCCTCATCTACCTGTCTTTTAAATACCTCCAGGGATGGTGACTCCACCACTTCCCTGGGCAGCCTGGTCCAAGGTTTAACCACTCTTTCAGTAAAGACATTTTTCCTCACGTCCAATCTAAACCTCCCCTGGCGCAACTTGAGGCCGTTTCCTCTCGTCCTATCGCTTGTTCCTTGGGAGAAGAGACCGACCCCCACCTCGCTACAGCCTCCTGTCAGGTGGTTGTAGAGAGCGATGAGGTCTCCCCTCAGCCTCCTTTTCTCCAGGCTAAACAAGTCCTTCCCTCTGAGGACACGGCGGGGTAAATGCGTTCGCTCTGCTCCCGGAGCCAAACTCTGGCAGCCACCGAGCATTCGGGTCCCCTTCCCGGCCGCCCGACCTACCGGTCATGTTCTCATCCAGGGGCAGGGACACTCCCACATCACAGATCTTGACGGCTTCAAAGTCGCCTTTAACGACCACGTTTGAAGACTTGATATCTCCGTGGAGCAGCTTCTTATCGTTGTGAAGATACTAAGAGGCAGAGAGGAGCCGTTAACCCCCCGCTTACAGACACAGCTACGGAGAGGCAGGAGGAGCCATGAGATTTGGACGACAAAACACTGACTTCTTGATGTTTAACATATTTGGCCTTAGAACCCGGAGGATGGGTCAACACCTACCTGTAACGCGTACGAAACGCAGGGCGGGTTTCAAGCAACAAGCGCTCGAGAGCGGTTGCGAAGCGCGGGCGTTAGCGGATGGCCAAGCGCGCATCCGCGTTATCCCGGGAGCTCAGAGCTGCATCTCCTCGGCAGCAATAGCACAGGGCTCGCTGCCGCGGCCGGGGCAGCCTGTGCTTTACACTGACCCCTGGCGTAGCTGCCGGCGGGGGGGGGGGGGGAGGAAACCGGGCTCCGGTTTGGCAGA